TGCCTGATGGACGAACGAGCGGCTTTGCGGCTGCAATTTTTTTTCTTCTATTTAGTGCGTTTGAGGCAGTGGCGATTGGTGGCTCTATAGAATCAAAATATCATCTTCCTGATTCGGCAATAAACTCAATCAACAGAGCGGTTTTGATACACGCCGATAAAACGCGATGCGAGATAAGCAAGGCTCCAGTAGTAGTAGACATTGTGGATAAACATATGTATACGAAGACGTAGGTTTAAGAAGAATTAAAATTCTGAAATATGTGAATAATAATTAGGCTATGATTACTAACAAAAAAAAAATAACTGTATAGGTCTAGAACTGTTCATCACTCAGTCACGCGTAGTTTTACGAAATGATTTGTTTAGTTGAGGTAAAGGCTCAAGTACAGTAATACTAATAATAATAATAATAATAATAATAATAATAGTAATAATAATAATAGTAATAATAATAATAGTAATAATAATAATAATAATAATAATAATAATCTAATAATAAATAATGACAAACGATGACAATGATTAAATAATGGTGGCAAATTTGAATTTGAATTTGAATGATCACGACTACAAATAAACTAGACCTATAATAAACATAACTGAGTTCAGGTAACCAGTGGGACTTGATTTCTTTGGCATCACCATTTGAATGATAATTTATCAATGTATGATAATTTATAACAACTAATTATAATGTTACTCTACTTCGTCATTTCCTGTACTGTATCCTGTGTGTCTGTGTCTTCATGATTTCGGATAGGCATACATTATCCATGGAGGGACTATATTAAGCTATTATTATTATTATTATTGTTGTTGTTGTCGTCGTCGTCGTCGTCATTATTATTATTGTTGTTATTGTTATTGCTATTGTTATTGTTATTGCTATTATTTTTATTATTACGGTATTATTAATATTATTATTATTATTATAACTAATATTATGTTTATTGCTATTTATGTATGTATATCCTTATGTTGTGTTGTGCTGCTGCTGCTACTGCTAATGTTACTGTAATTACATAAGTAATTACAGTAACATTAGCAGTAGCAGCAGCAGATAATGTTACTGTAATTACTTGCGTAATGTTACTGTATTACATACTTATGTTGGTTGTGGTTGTGGATGTACGTCAAGTTAAACAAATTTATATTCATAAAGTTTTTACGTTGGTACAGCAGATGTACGCGTGGGTGACAATACATTCCTAGAAAATAAGGCCTTGTTTTGTAAATAATAGGCTAATTATTATTTATTTTTTATTTATTTTATGTTCTCTTATGATAAAACAGTGAGTTCAAACCTCTGGATGTTTCAACACACACTCTCCCATCATTGGTCTACTACATTACGGTTTGTTGGTGTTGCCTGTTGTCAAAAGCTTGAGCTTTGTGTATCGCATAAACTCAGACAGCAGAAAGAAAACTATAAATATTCATAAGATTACTTGCTGACGCAAAGCAGGGTGAGGCGATATAATGAATTTATAATGTCACCAATCGTCACTGCCTTAAACGTCCATGAAAAAAAAAATCGCAGGTCGACCGGCCGACTGAACATCATTAAATGATTAAATGAATGAATTATTCAATGATTGAATAGTTGATTGATTGATTGATTAATTGATTGATTGTTAAATAATTGATTGAATGAATGAATAAATACATGAATGAATAAATTACTATATGAATAAATAAGTAAATGAGAGTGAATGAGTGAATGAACGAGTAAATGAGTGAGTGAATGTATGAATGGTGAATAAATAAATGATTAAATGAATGAATGAGTGAGTCAATGAATGAGTGGGTGAATAAGTTAGTGCATTAATGAGTGAATAAATGAGTAAATAGATAAATGAGTGAATGAATGAATGTGTGAATGAGTGCGTGAATGAGTGAGTCAATGATTAAAACTATGATTAATGAATGAATGAGTACATGAATGAGTGAATAAATAGTGAATAAATAAATAATTGAATGAATGAATGAGTGAATGAATGAATCGTGAATAAATAAATGATTAAATGAAAGAATGTATGAGTGAATGAATGAGTGAGTGAGTGAATGAATGAATGAATGAATGAATGAATGAATGAATGAGTGGGTGAATGAACGAGTGCATGAATGAGTGAATAGATAAATGATTAAATGAATGGATGAGTAAATAAAGAAATAAGTAAATGAGTGCGTGAATGAGTGAGTCAATGATTAAAATTACGATTAATGAATGAATGAATGACTGCATGAATGAGTGAATAAATAGTAAATAAATAAATAAATGAATAAATGAGTGAATGAATGAGTGAGTAAATGAATGAGTGAGTGCATGAATGAGTGAGTGCATTATGACTGAATAAATAAATGAAAAAAGAACGAATAAGTGAATGAATGAGTGAGTGAATGAAGAAATGAATAAGTACATGAGTGAGTGAGTGAGTGAGTGAGTTAGTGAATGAATGAGTAAATAAATAAAGGACTAGAATGGTAAATGAATGGAACTTTAATAAACATTGATCTCGTTTTAAAAATATAATAGGTGAGGCCGTATGAGTATACAAGCTTGTGGCGATTGAACCTATTTAGAACTATAAACAAATCAATAGTTTATTTTGGCTTATTCAGCATAGATTATTGCGAAAGCTTTTGTAACAAAGTATTTTGATTATTATTATTTATAGTGTGTATTTGTTATAGGAATAAATGTATGAATGAATATAACAGTTATTAATATTATTTAATGAGTTACGTACATACAAAGTGGAAATTCTGATCTCGCATTATAAAGATCATTTTGCCTGAAATTTACTTGAAAGTCCAGTCAACATAAAGGTATTCTTGCACCGACATCACGCCGTGGAGATCACTCTTCGGAAAAGAGTAGGGATTGTCTCCCGGTGTACTCTCCAATCATCACCAGAAGGACCCCACTGGAAATAAGTCTTCTTCTGGACTTTCGTGGACTGTCCTTGGTGTTTACACCGAATAAATCCAACCCAATTCAATCTAATACTTACTAAGTATTAATACTAACTAAGTCTTAGTTATTAAGTTTTCAATAAATCGATATTTATTTGTGATATGCTGTGAACATTGTGTACACTTACTATTTTTTTTTTTCAATTATAGAACTGAGAAATGGCTGAAAAGGGAATTCCCGAGTTCCTTGATAACCTGGAGAAAAACGTACTGGAATGTGCAATTTGTTTGAAAAGACTTAACAGACCAAAGACATTGGTATGCCTTCATACATTTTGCTTATCATGTCTTCAAGATTGGGTTAAACAAAAAGATGGGCTTATTTGCCCTACTTGTTACCAGCCATGTACCATTCCAGAGGGTGGTCTTCAAAAGCTACCACCAAATACATTCCTCATTAACTTATTAGAAAATGTTGAACAATTTGAAGAAGAAAACAAAATCAAGTGCTTATGTAGTAAAGCTTATGCTAAATTCTACTGTCAGAATTGCAGAAATCATTTGTGCTGTTCTTGCAAAGATCAACATGAATTATTTCCTCAATTAAGGGATCACCAGATTCATTCAGTTGAAGATGTCAAGTCAATTACTTCACGTGATCTCTCATCTTTGAATACGCCACTTTGTTCACTCCACAAAGACAACGCCCTTAATTATTATTGCAATGTTTGTGTAACTCCTATTTGTACAAACTGTACAATCACCGAACATAGTGAACACAAACACGTTGATATTTCTGATGCTTTCAATGAATTTGTTGAATCTACTGTTCATTTAAAACAAGATGTGGAAGAATTCAAGGCAACTATGATTACTAGACGGGAAAATGCCCAGTTGAAAGCAATTAAACTCGAGGAAAGCAATGAGAAATGCAAAAATGATATTAATGCATTTGTTGAAGAAATGAAAAACCTAATCAATGAAATGGAGGCAAACTTATTGAAAGAGCTCCATAATGTGTATGGCAGAATGAAAAAGAGAAATATTTGCGAAATTGATGATTTAAACAGAATGGCATCTGACGTGGATACAAGATGGAACTACATTTCGCAGTTACTAAAAAACAACAAAGCAACTGCTTTGCAATCAAGTGAAAGGGCAGTGGTGGCACTTCAAGACAAAATAAAGGTGTTTCAGGAAGTGGAACTAAGAGATGAGGCAGAAATACATTTCCTAAAAGAAAACAAATCATATAGTGAATTAAAACAAAACGGAATTGGGTGTATTGTAGAGAACGATTTTAAGATGAACTTAGATTCACTGACTGTTACTCGAGGACAAACATTTATGATCAAAATAAGTAAAATAAGTGATAAATATGCGAGCAAGGTAAATGCAACTTTAACACATGATGATGAAATCACCATTCCTAAAACGGAACATCAACGTAATGGAGATTGTGTAATATCAGGGACTTGTTCATGTGTAGGTGTTTGGAATCTAAACGTTGGTCTAGGTGAAATTCCAATTAAGGGGTCTCCATTGAATATCAGTGTTGAGAATATAGGATTAAGATGCAAGCATGACTTAAAAGAATATGTAACGGGTGTAGTAATGACTAACGATGAGCTTTTGCTAGTGGCAAATAAATCTAATGAAATTTTAAAATTAGAAGAATCTGTTGAAAGTAGAATCAATTTGCCCAAAGGTGCAAAAGTTCATAGAATAAATACATTGAAAACCAATGGCAACATAGTATTCAGTGATACAGGTAACAGATGTATTACAATATGCAAGCTGGACGGCCAGGTAATCAGGTCAATTGGTGAAGGTTTAATAGGCAATCCTTATGGGATTGATGTAAATGAAAGAACAAATGAACTTTACGTTGCAGACTACACGAACAATTGTATATTTGTCTTCAGTCTAGAAAGTTATCAACTGATCAAAAAAATAGGATCTAAAGGTAAATGTAATGGAATAGTAGAAAAACCAAGTGATGTAACACTGACTAAGGACGGACATGTGGTTGTTGCAGATACACTCAATCACAGAATACAAATGTTTGACAGAGAAGGTTCATTCATTCAAGTTTTAGTACAAGAAGGGTTTGAAAACGGTAAAGTGAAATACCCTAGAGGTGTCGTAATGGATGAAGAGGAACACCTTATTGTAGCAAGTAACCATAAGCTTCAGCTATTCGAAAAATCTGGAAAGTTTATCAAAATAATTGGCCAACAACAAGATGGGATAAATAATCCCGAGGGAGTATGTGTAGTTTCTTATTATCCAAGAAGAGTAGCCGTTGCAAATTGGAACAAAAAAAATGTTCTAATATTCAATTATTAGTGAGTTAAGTATATTAACTGGCTTACCAAAACAATGGTTTTCATTCTAATTTTCCCATTATCCAAGAAGAGTAGCGCGCGAATTGGAGCAAACAAAATGTTCAGATCTTTAATCATTAGTGAACAATGTAAATTGAATTTATGATCTCTATATCTCTCATAAAGGCAGTTTGTTATTACTGTATTCTTTTATTCTTCGAGTTTGAGAGGCCCATACAAAAGGTTTTAAAACAGTTGTTAACATTTATTTAGATTATTAAAAAATATATGTAGCATGAAGCTCAGATGATAATTGAATTTTAATTGTAATTATAATATTTCAGATTATAGCAGTGAGTTACTTATAAGGTGTTTTTTTTATTATTTTTTTTAATACAATGTGGGCGAGTCAATGACAGTTGAGCACGTATAATATAAAATGCGTTTAAAATCATTAGAAACCGGTTTCATTATACTCAGGACACTAGAAACATTGATGTACTTCAAGCACTCTACACTGCAACCTGCTCCTTTCTGGAAGAAGAAGGTCGATATCAACAATTTAAAACCCACCCTAGGTTACGGGAAAGAAAGTCAGTTAATCAATTAAAAAAAAAATAATAATAATAATAATAGGCCTAATAGTAATAATAGTAATAATAATAATAATAATAATAATTATATAATAAATAAATAAAAATAATAAAGTAATACAAAATATAAAAGAATGCATTATTTTGTGAAGCATAATGAATGGGATATCATTGATCTCAAGTGAACGCTAGCAGCAGTGATCATGTTAATGGTTCCCGCCAATGGCGGCCATGGTGTTCCAAGGAAGATGGCTACGTAACGGTAACAGTAAGTAGTATAGAATTATTAGTATAACGGGATAGTCATTTAGGATGTCAAGGAATATCAACATGTAATTTGGAATTATTGTATCATGAATTAAAGAACTTGTCTGTTGTTGGAAGTCTGTTTTGAATTATTGAATTGATGGTTAGTGCAGCCATTGTAAATCTCCTGGCCTAGGGCTAGTAAAGATAATTATTACAAATAATTTTCAACCTAATTTTCAGCTCTTGTGTTTTTAGAGGAGTAATTATTGATTACTGTGTTTATTTCACTACAGTGGCGAATTCAATGGGCAGAGCCGTCAGGCTCCTATAATATTTTTTTAATGTTTTAAAACATGGGACTCAATGGAAAAAAGTAAATTATATTCAAATTTAATTCTCAGATTGCCATTTCGGGCTTTTAGAGGTGTTGTAATCATACATTTTCAGTTCAGTATTTATTTCACAATTAATATTGACGAAATAAAACAAAATCGAGAATTGGTGAGAATTTCGTAGCCCCACCACCTTAGCCGCAACCATGATAGTGCTGGTGCTCTAGACCCTCCATCAGTGAAAGTCCTTCCCTGGACTCCTCATACAGCATGTCAAATTCCTGGATCAGCCACAGAAATTTTTTGATTTTACGAGGCAACCAATTTTCTTGATTTGTTTAGAACAGCTGCTGGGACAGCATAGGCTTCTCTTGAAAGATTTACGAAGCTTCTGATTTCATTAGTATTTGTTACTGGCCTAATATACCATTACGGAGATTAAATGAAACACCTTCTACGATGAATTTAAAAAAAAAAAAAACGTGAGTCAATATTATATCTACTATAGTCCTGGAATTTAATTTTCATTCTTCAATAAAAAAAAATATACGCCTCCTAAAACTTTGGAGCATTCAGGGATTCCCCTTACCCAGCAGACTACCACTATCACATCAAAGTGCCCCTAGTTTGTAAATATTAAAAAATCTGTACCTCTAACCGTTCTCGAGTTTGTCAAACACCATTGGATACACTCTTTGAAATAATGGTTATTCAGAGGTTCTTGGATGTCCTGTATATGGAACCCTCAGTGTAAGAAGGTCCCTTATTTCGAAGGATCTGTAAATAGTTCTAAAAACACTTTAACGAACCTAAAATGGTTCGAAAGCTCCTTTAGCGAACCTATTTTCCTCATTTATCGAACCATTAAATGTACTACAAGGGTTGCATATTCAGGACAACTGAAGAATCCATTAAGAACCCCTTTTTTCTTAGATTGTTACTGACGTTATCTGGGATAGCCTATTTCATACATACATAATTATTGTCGCTATATTTATTTAATAATAGCTTGATTTCAATATATAAATCAAATAGTATTATTAATAAGCTGTACTCTACTTGAACCACAGTGAGTGATAATAAAAAGGTTGCCGTATTAGACAAAAGTCTGAATAAACTAAATTTAACTTGCAATTCATTTATCTAATATCATATTTTTATATATAATTTACTTTAATATGGTGAACATAGTGGTTTAAAAAACACAATTCGTTGTTTATGCTACCTTTTTTCAAAATAGGCCTACAGGAAGCTTACATTTCTTTCTTCTTTTTTATTTTTTAGTATGATTATAATTTTGTACCGTATTACCGTATTTCGAAGAATAAACGCTCCGGGAGGCGTTTATTGTTAAGGTTTATTGTTAATGTGAACTACAAAATTATCGTCAAAATTGGTTATTACGTAATCACAAAGACTTAATGATCCCAACCAGGTTAGAAACATATAAATCTAGTGGCTTAAAATATTAACTGAATGTGTTAAGAGCTTTTTTTTTAATTTACAGTCAATGGGGGAGGGGGGATTATTCCATGAAAAATTTGAAATGAGGCTCTAAAGGAGATACAATTTATTTATTATATTAAAGGATATTATTATATTTTATTATTTTATTGCATACTTATTGAACATTTTTTTAATCCTTGGGTTTGGAACTATATATATGGCATATACCGATACATAGCTGATGCTAAAGTTTATTGACTTTTTTTAGACAATGGTCTGAATTATTATTTGAAGAAGCCCTGGCTATTAGACGCTATAAACCATGTTTAAATACAAGACTAAAAACATCTAAAAAAACTTGCTTTGTTCCATTAGCCCTTAACATCCAGTTTATTTATTATTATTTATCCATATTAACAATATGTTCACACAATATCAAGATTGCTTTTGTTTTAGTATTTTGTTTATTCATTAATAGTGTACTCCTTGTTTGACTTGATTGGTTAAGTTTACTGGTTTCCCACTTTTGATTGGTTAGTTAAGTTACTTCAATTCTGGTATATGCTCCCTATGGACAAAATTATATTCATTCCCGATGATGTTTGACTAAAGAACGAAATACTGAATCACTATGGCTTCTCTTAGTCTTTTTTTTTTTTTTTTGAGTCTGCATGATCCTATTACTCCACCTATAATGAATCAACCAAGAGGTATTCCTGGCGTGAAACGCCAGAATTTTCTCAAACTGGCAGATTCATTCCCCGCAGCTAAGAGAAAATTTTGGCAGGGAATTCCAGTGAATGATGGAAGTGTTGATCTGGCTGAACACTTTGAGTGATAGTTTTATGTAATAATAAAAATAATTTTATGTGATCAAACTAAAGTGGTTCTTCTTATTTCTCCTGCATTAGTTCAGTTTTTAAGCAATTAAGTGAAGTGCTGCTGACATACTAGGTTTTTTAAGATGGAAATTTTGGTTGTGAAATTGGTTTAATCAGGAAAAACATAGTAAGTCGTTATGTAACCAGGTTAAACCAGTGTATGTTATATAAACAAATGCATTGAAAAGGCTTCTAATTGTCTTCATCTATAAAGCCGAAACTAAATTTCTTTTATATTCAGTAGCTTATCCTTAAACAAAACAGTTTTCCTTTGTTTTTTAAATTTTTTGTTCAATCGACATACTATGTTTTTCCAGATTACAGGAGATATGGAAGATAGAAACTGTTGAAACATGCCAAAAATCAAATACTTAGATTTTACAATACTTAGGCTTATTATGAATTTAGTAAATACTTTCAAAGTTTACATATTTAAATTTTGTGACGAGACAAAATGTTATTATTATTATTATTATTATTATTATTATTATTATTATTATTATTATTAGTTAATAATAATAATAATAATATTATTATTATTATTATTTTAAACAAACTTAATATCGTAATATTGTTATCAATAATATCGTTACCATTATTATCATTATCATAAATATCTTTATCGTTATCACTAAACTTTCACCAGGCCTTGTTATTATATTTCGTAAACATTCTTCGTCTATAGAGCATTAATTTGCTGTAAAGAAGTAGTAAGTTTAAACTGAAACTGACCTTGACCAATACCGATACTCCCAGAGGAACGCGTCCACAGATTAGAACAATAATAATAATAATAATAAAGAAATATAAGAAAGATTGCTCATGTTGTCAGAGCAAAGAGTCTACAGAAATTTCTCATAGAAGGAAAAGTGGAAGGAGTTAGAACCAAAGGAAGGCCTAGAAAAACATGGATAAGGGATATACAGGAATGGACAAAACATAACTATGTAAAATGTGCAAGAGGAGCAGAAGACCGAGACTAATGGCCTACTGTAATAGCAAATCTGCAAGTTACGGGTGCTACTTCCAGGTAAAAGTAAAAAAAAGTAGCCTGTCAATCTCAGTATCTTGGTGACGAATTGGTTCAATCTGAATACATGGTTATTCAATAAAAAAAAAACAGACGATTGTTAGATCCATTAGGGGCTGGAACAATATTTTTAGTTGATAGGTCAATGATTCTTTGGCTATCTTCCCCAGCAGATATTCCCCTAGATCGCAATATCACAGCCACTCCTATAGCTTGAGTTCCAGGCCCTAATTTTGTGTTACTCACTCTTTATTGCACTTAGTGCGCGCGTAATACCTAATTTAATTGGCGTCTCATACTCGATTTCTTTTTTTCGGCTTACTGAGAAAAATAATAAAAAATAAGAGACTTGTGGTAAGTCTACCACTCCTACAACACAACACGATGTTTAGTTATAGAGTAAGATTCAAGAAGAAATTAAATTTAATTTTCTGTGTACATATCAGGTTCTTAGAGAAACTTTTCATAGTTACTATCCTTGACGCAGGGTTCTCAGAATGCCGTCCTCAGCGGCATGTCCAAAGCACAACTCAAAATCAGGAGAGGAACGGTTTTGAAGTCAGATTTGCGAGAAAAACTTAAGCTACCCTTATTTCTCGACTGAGACGTCAGTGGGAGCTGTAATAATTGTATGGCCAGCAGATGGTGCAACCCTCAATTCGTTTTTATTGAATAACCTTATAGTTAAATTTTTATTTTTTTTGTTGACGTCACACTCACAAAAATATTGTAGTTAACATGCATACATCATAAGAATACGTCACCTTTTCCTGGTAAGGCAAACTTTCCCAGTGTGCTTTTTTCATGGAAAACTACCACTGCTTTGCACATGGATGCCTTACTTATCTAGGGCTACAAGAGCCGCATTGTTAGCATAGTATAATACTTAAGGTACCGGTATGTCTGGAACTGTATTATTCTTATTAACTTTTGTTTTATATTAATTTATTTCTTTCGAAAGTGTACTTTCTATCACATATAATTGCACTGTCTACTTAGGCCTAGTCTTAATAAAAAGTATCCTCACCGTCTTCCGCTACACAGTACATAGTAGGTTGGACAACAGACCGTCGCCCGCTACACAGGACATCAGTAGGATAGGCAACAGAACGTGTAACATTTGAATATTGTTGGCAAACCAACTTATGCTTACCGTTCCCCCACCCCTATGCTACAATACAGACGTATGCTAGGCAACAGAACGTGACATTGCACCTTCCTTTCCAGGTGATCATGTAACATTTGCATTATTGTTAGGTAACGAGCTGCGTGTATTTCTTTGTGAAAATGAGTAACGCGGCGTACTCACTTTCACAAAGCATTTGCATCTCTCTTGGCTCACCAGCACCGTACTTCGCTAATTAATTACCTAATTTAGCTCACTTATGCATGGAGTAACTGGAGCACTTAAAATGTGCAACGATCATTTTACTACTCGACAAACC